TTTGGGCCTGCTGGCCGAGGATCAGATCCTTGCCAATCTTTCGGAACGAGCGTTCCCTGAATCGGTTTGGAAAGCTTTCGGGGAACACGTGGAGGAGGTTGGGGAAGAGGAGGAGAGTGAGGAAAAAGGGAAGGGAGGAAGAGTCCTCGTGGGAGCCTCTTGAGGCACTCTGGGGCTCAATTGGGCCATCTGGAGGCCATTTGGACTCTTTCGGGCCTTCCTGGAGGACGTCTTGGAGGGCTCTTGGGCCGTCTTGAAGCCCTCTTGCGGGCCTCTTGGGCAGTCTAAGGCCATCTTGGGGCCGTCTTGGGTGCATCTTGGGGCCATCTTCGCTGTCTTGGAGGCCTTCTTGGCCGTCTTGGAGGCCATATTGGCAGTCTTGGAGGCCATTTTGGGCGTCTTGAAGGCCTCTTGGCCCGTCTTGGGGTCCTCTTGGGGCCCTCTTGGGGGCCTCGTAGGCCGTCATGGGCCATCTTGGAGGCCTCGTGGGCGATTTTGGGGCGATCTTGGGGGCCTCTTGGGCCGTCTTCAGCCGTCGGAATGCCGAGAAGAAGCACATGACTAAATACTTCAAACACCTAACGGAAATCAATGATTTCGGCCTCTTCGGGCCCTCCTGGAGGACCTCTTGGAGGCCTCTTGGGTCGTGTTGGGCCCTCCTGGAGGCTTCTCGGGCGACCTTGAAGGTATCTTGGACTCTCTTGGGCCGTCTTGGAGGCCGTCTGGGAGCATCTTGGGCGGACTTGGAGGCCATCTTGGACCATCTTGGAGGCCATCTTGGGCCAACGTGGCCATCTTGGAGGCCATCTTGAGCCGTCTTGGAAGATTTTTTGGGGTATTGAGGTCCTCGGCAATCTTTTCGGGTGGCCGGCGGGGCGGGCCGAAGCCCCAGGGAGAGTTGTTTTGGGAAAGAACCGAAGCCAAAACCGAAAGGGTTCAGCACGCCAGGCACCCCTGTGATGAATCAACAGGGGGCGGCGGACCGAAGACGCCTACGGCGAATCACCGCCGCCCCTGCCTTTTTGGAAGCGCCTATGTGGCCCAACGTTGAGGCCAGACCTGCCAAGCTATCGGACCATGTGTTCCCCGAATCGGTTTGGAAAGCCTTCGGGGAACACGTGGGCATCTTGAAGGTCATCTTGGCCGTCTGGAGGCCATTTTGACCCTTTCGGGCCTTCTTGGAGGACGTCTTGGAGGGCTCTTGGGCCGTTTTGGAGGCCATCTTGAGCGTCTTTGAGGCCTCTTTGGCCGTCCTGGGGGCCTCTTGGGGCCATCTTGGGCCTCTTGGGCGATCTTTGGGGCCGCTTGGGCCGTCTCGGGCCGTCGGAAGGCCGAAAAGAAGCAAATGCCACAATCCTTCAAAAACTCATGGGAAGTCACTGATTTGGGCCTTTTCGGCCCTTCCTGGAGGCCCTCTTGGAGGCCTCTTGGGCAGTCTTGGGCCATCTTAGCGCCATCTTCGGCCGTCTTGGTGGGCTCCTGGCCCGTCTGTCGCCGTCGGAAGCCGTTTGGGGGGCCTCTCTGGGCCGATTTGGGGCCCTCTTGGAGGCCTTCTTGGGCGTCTTGAAGTCCTCCTGGGCCGTCTTGGGGGCCTCTTGGGGCCGTCTTGGGGGCCTCTTGGGCCGTTCTGGGGCCATCTCGGAGGTCTCTTGGGCGATCTTTGGTGATCTTTGGGGGCTCTTGGGCCGTCTCGGGCCGTCGGAAGGCCGAACAGAAGCAAATGTCAAAAACCTTCAGAAGCCATAGGATATTCAGTGTTTTTTGTTAGCTTTTTTTCTGGCCTTCCTGGGGGCCCTCTTGGAGGCCTCTTGGGCCGTCTTGGGCCAGCTTCGAGCCCACTTCGGCCATCTTGGTGGGTTCCTGGCTCGTCTGACGCCGTCGGGAGCCGTCTTGGGGGCCTCTCTGAACCGGCTTGGGGCCCTCTTGGGGCGCTTCGGGTCCGTCTTGGATGCCTCTTGGGCCGTCATGGGGCCCTCGTGGAAGCCTCGTGGGCGATCTTGGGCGATCTTGGCGGCCTCTTGGGCCGTCTTGAGCCGTTGAAATGCCGAGAAGAGGCAAATGCCAAAATCCTTCAAACACCTAAGGAAACTCAATGATTTTGGCCTCTTCGGGCCCTCCTGGAGGACCTCTTGGAGACCTCTTGGGCCGTCTTGGGCCCTTCTGGAGGCTTCTTGGGTGAACTTGGAGGTATCTTGGACCCTCTTGGGCAGTCTTGGAGGCCGTCTTGGACCATCTTGGGCGGACTTGGAGGCCATCTTGGACCATCTTGGAGGCCATCTTGGGCCAACGTGGCCATCTTGCAGGCCATCTTGAGCCGTCTTGGAGGATTGTTTGGGGAATTGAGCTCCTTGAAGATCGTCCCGGGACCCCGGCGGGACGGGCCGAAGCCCCAGGGAGAGTTCTTTTTTGGAAAAGAACCGAAGCCAAAACCGAAAGGGTTCAGCACGCCAGGCACCCTTGTGATGAATCAACAGGGGGCGGCGGACTGAAGACGCCTACGGCGAATCACCGCCGCCCCCTGCCTTTTTGGAAGCGCCTATGTGGCCCAACGTTGAGGCCAGACCTGCCAAGCTATCGGACCATGTGTTCCCCGAATCGGTTTGGAAAGCCTTCGGGGAACACGTGGGCATCTTGAAGGTCATCTTGGCCGTCTGGAGGCCATTTTGACCATTTCGGGCCTTCTTGGAGGACGTCTTGGAGGGCTCTTGGGCCGTTTTGGAGGCCATCTTGAGGTCTTTGAGGCCTCTTTGGCCGTCCTGGGGGCCTCTTGGGGCCATCTTGGGCCTCTTGGGCGATCTTTGGGGGCGCTTGGGCCGTCTCGGGCCGTCGGAAGGCCGAAAACAAGCAAATGCCACAATCCTTCAAACATTCAATAGGAAATCAATGATTTTGGCCTTTTCGGCCATTCCTGGAGGCCCTCTTGGAAGCCTCTTGGGCCGTCTTGGGCCATCGGCCGTTTTGGTGGGCTCCTGGCCCGTCCAACGCCATCGGAAGCCGCTTGGGGGGCCCCTTTGGGCCGATTTCAGGCCATCTTGGGCGTCTCAAAAGCCTACTGGGCCGTCTTGGGGGCCTCTTGGGGCCGTCTTCGGAGCCTCTTGGGCCGTTCTGGGGCCATTTTGGAGGCCTCTGGGGTGATCGTTGGGCGATCTTTGGGGGCTCTTGGGCCGTATCGGGCCTTCGGATGGCCGAAAAGAAGCAAATGTCAAAATCCTTCAACAACCGTAGGCACATAATTTGTTTTGCCTTTTCTGGCCTTCCTGGAGGCCCTCTTGGAGGCTTCTTGGGCCGTCTTGGGCCAGCTTCGAGCCAACTTCGGCCATCTTGGTGGGCTCCTGGCCCGTCTGACGCCGTCGGAAGCCGTTTGGGGGGCCTCTGTGGGCCGACTTGGGGCCCTCTAGGTGTGCTCCAGGGCCGTCGTAGAGGCCATCTTGGGCGTCTTGGACGCCTCATGGGTCGTCTTTGTGCGCTCTTGGGGCCGTCGTGGGGGCCTCTTGGGCAGTCCTGAGGCCATCTTGGAGGCCACTCGGGCGCTGTGGGGGCGATCTTGGGGGCATCTTGGGCCGTCTTGGGTCGTCGGGAAGCCGAAAAGGAGCAAATACGAAAAACCTTTAAAGCCTAAGGAACATTTATGATTTTGGCCTCTTCGGGCCCTCCTGGAGGATCTCTCGGAGGCCTCTTGGGCCGTCTTGGAGGCCTCTTGGGCACCTCTTGGGCCATCGTAGAGGTTTCTTGGGCGGACTTGGAGGCATCTCCTCTTCTCTTGGGCGGACTGGGAGGCCATCTTGGACCATCTTGGAGGCCATCTTGGGGGCCATCTTGGCCGTCTTGGAGGCCATCTTGAGCCGTCTTGGAGGCCATCTTGAGCCGTCTTGGAGAATTTTTTGCGGACGTTAAGGATGTCTCTGGTCCTGGAAGAGCCTTCCAGGATCTTGTCGGGACGGGCCGAAGCCCCAGGGGGAGTTCTTTTCGAAAAAAGAACCAAAACCAAGACCGAAATAATCTAGCAAGGCAGGCATCCCTGCGATGAACCGACAGGGGGCGGCGGATCTAGTAGCATTCGGCTTATCCCGTCACCGCTCCCAGGTTGTAGGTCAGAGGCCTCTCGGATGCCTGTGCGGATCTCTTGGGAGGCCTCTCGGAGGCCTCGTGGAGACGGTCTTGGGGGTGTCTTGGGGCCTCCTGGGGGGGGTCCTTGTTCTTGATTTCGGCTTCTTGGGGGCCTCCTGGGGCTGCTGGGGGGGCCCTCGGGGGCCTGCTGGCGGTCTCGGGGGTCATCTTGGGGTTGAGTACATGGGATGCCAGTTTGAGTTCCCCTTCTTGGGGTCCTCTTGGGGCCTTCTTGAGTCCTTCTTGCCCTCTTGGGGTCCTCGTGAGGTGACCTTGGAGGACTTCTCGGGCCGTCTTGGAGTGTCGGAAGCCCGACAAGGCGAGAACGCTGAGCTCTTCCAAAAACATGCGGTTAATCAATGATTTTGATCTCTCGGGGCCCTCTTGGGGTCCTCTTGGAGCCCTCTTGGGGCTCCTTGGACCTTTTTGGGGTTCTTCAGGCCGTCCTAGGCGGGGTCAACGCGCCGGAGGTCCACGCGACAAACCCCCACAAAGCCTTTGTGCCGAGCTCTCAGAACTGCAAGAGCCTTGAGGCACTCTACTACGTTGGCGGATATAGCTGAAAGCTCAAACAGCAATTCAGAGCATCCTAAGGATGCATTGCCGTTGATCCGATCTCGATCCAGATGGGGGAGGCGGGTGGACTAAATTGTTTTCTGCGCTTGGATCCGCGGCCCTTGTTCACGAGCGGTGGACGTATCCATATCCACACCCTCGCGGTCTGGATTCCAGGGCGCGATCCCGCGGAGTCGCGGTCGCACGGATACGTTCCGCGCGGGGCATCCGCGAACAAGTTGCCCGCATCCGCTGGGTCGCGGCCCAGGGTCGCGACCCAGGGGCCCGGTCCACGAGGTCGCAGATACGGGTCTGTTGTCCGCCCGCGGCTTGTGCAGGGGGGACTTCGTCTTCGACCCCGGGGACTCCCTCGCCAACACCGCGGACACCCGCAGGGGGCAAATCTGCGCGCCACAGGCTGCCTCAGGTGGGCCCCACGCCAGGCCCAGGATTGGCGCGCATGCCTGCCTGGGCCACGCCGGGAGGGCGTACGGTTCGGGGGCGGCCAAGAAGGGGGGTAAGGACTACGCTGACCTCGGATCCGCCGTAGTCTGGTTGATCTTCGGGCCTTCGAGTGTGTCGGACATGCACCCCAAACGACGCGAACAAAAAGTGAAGCGGGAATTCCCGCCTCGGGGCAAGTGGCCGAATAGCTTAGCGGCAGGCGGGCGGAAGAACGGCGACGACAAAGTGGGGCGCACATTGGCATCAGAGGAGCTTGGAAAGCAGGGCGGCGGTTTTCCCCTGATACTTGCGAAATCGCCTCCCGAAAAAGTACAGCGCATTCGAAGTCGGTGGCAGGGCGGATACCTCCCAGGCTTCCCCCCAGATATCGTGGCCCGCTCTCTTGCTGTTCAGCTGGTCCCCCATTGGAGGCCGCCTGGAGCCAGGACCTGAGCCGGCGAGGCTCGCTTGTCGCGCAGGGTCGGCTTTCGTTCCTAGGTTTGCTGGTCTCTTCTTGCAGCGCGTGACGGATAGAGGCGACATCCTCAGAAGGGCCAGCTGCCACGACCCCCTCTTCCCGTCGGCTCTTCGAGGACGTTCCTCGGCAACCCCCTCGGCCGCGCGCGCCTCGGGCCATGCCTTGCGAGCCCCTCCTCTTGTGAATGGGGCCCTGGGACACACACATAAATAAACACAAATACTAACAGGATTCCCCACATTATCGAATGTTCTCTGGGTTTTCGTCCCCCCCCCACTTCCCCCGCATTTTCCCATCTTTTCCTGGGAGTCGGCGAACCATTGTGTCTGTGTGTTTTTGCCCCTCCTGATCCTGGACGCCCCCCTCATGCCCCCGAACGCCAGCGCGGGCATGTGAGGTTGAACGCTGCCAGTGGCCCAGGATCGGTCAGCGTGGAACGATCTGGCGATCGAGAAGCCGCCAGTCGTTCAGGGCTGAACGATCCACGCGGTGTCAGAAGCCGACGCCGCGATCGCCACGACACGAGTTTTACCCTGATTGTCCGCGCATCTTTGGCCCAGGTTGGTCCTGAGCTGGTCTGATGGTGGGGTACACATTGTTCATGTCTAATTCTTCGAAGGTTTTCTGATTTTTGGGAGACCAAGATCCTTTCATTTCTAATTGTTTTTTCCTGGGCCTCTTCCTGGCCACTGGGGGGCCAGGAATAATTAGAAACGAGCACAATTAGAAATGAGCACGATTAAAAATAAACGACGTGTACCCTGACATCCGAAGATAGGATTTGTGTTCAGTACACGGTCTGAAGAGAGACCCCGACCCTTCTTCCGGGGCCAGTTTCTCTTCACGGATCCGTCGTTGAGGGCCCCAGGGTCCGAATGGCGGGCCACAGGGGGTCGACAGACGTTGGAGAAGCACGCCCGGATTGAAGCCAGTCTCGCAGGCCTAGAGGTTGACACCAACACCAAGATCGGCGGTGTACCTCCACCGAGGGAAGACGATCCCGATCTCGGTGCTCGTGGTAATATTCTGGTTTCCAAGGTGACCGAAATATTACCACCGACACCGAAATCTAGGATCATCTCCCCCATGTGGAGGCAACCCCCTGTGCTGGTGCTGGTGCCAATTTCCAGGCCTCCAAGAGTCGCATCGTCGGAGATCTGGGCATGTCCTGCTGCTGCGGCCCAGGACAGCCTCGGCGAGGCGCTGCGGGCCAACGAGGACGCGCTCCAGAGGGTGCGCGCGGGCATCCTCGAGGAGCTCCAGGCGCGGGGCTTGTCGGCGGAGGGCGGCCCCGACGGCAGGCTGCAGGACAGGGGCTTTGGTGCCCTTAGTTTTGTCCGAGGCTGGGCTATGTCGGGATTGCTTGGCTCCCCGAAAGAACTTTTCTGGCGTTGGAGGCGGCTGGGGGTCCGTGGTGGCTAGTTCCGTCCAGCGGGAAGTGGGGGAAGAGGTTCGAGGTTCCGGGCTCGAGGATTTTCCTGTTTTGTTTATGTTGTTTGCTTTGTGCGGGCTCCAGGGGCCGTTTCGGACCCCGGACAGTGAAACCAGGATTTGGGGTGAAAGCTGCACGAGAGGACCCTGGGTGGGGTTCGGGACAGACTTGAGCGGATTTGCCATTCTCCGTTTCTTTCTGGCTTAATTTATATAGGGTCGATCCGATTCAGAGCCCTTGACCGCCCAACTCTGACGCGTAACAGTCGTTACCGGGGTTCAGGGGTCGAGCCCCCTTATAGGAGCCCCCTTTATAGGAAATTCGCAAGGATCCTCAGTGAGCATTCCTTTAGTGGGAGATGCTTCGCAAATATTTATTTCGTGATGTTCCATTCGTAAGCGTGCCTTTTGTCTAGGGATCCCGAGTAAGTGTCCCTTTAGTGGGGGGTCCTTAATACAGATGCCTTTAGCACGTGTTCTCTTGTAAGGACCGATCCAATGGGAAAACCTTAGTAGTGATTCCTGCAATCAGGAGTGTTTATTAAGGATGCCTTTGAGTAATGGTCCCTTCACTAAAGGCCCCTGTGGTAATAATCACTGCGCACGTTTCCTTTGATGAGGGCCCCTGGGTACGAATGCCTCCAGGAAGTGTTTCTTAGTAGGAATGCTTCTCGTAAGGCCCGCTCTGGGAGGATCCATTTAGTAAGCGTGCTGTCGCTAAGGACCCCTGTAGTCAGAATCCTTCGCTACGACTTCCTCTAGCGATGGCTCCTTAAGAAACTTACGAAGGATGCTGGTTCCCGAGCAAGGATATCTTGTTCGTGACTCCATACAGTGGATGCTTGTAGCGAGGCCTGCTTCGTGAGGATGCCTCCAGTAAGGATCCCCACAGCAAGGACCCCCTGTAGCAAGGTCTCCTTTGTAATACTTCCTTTAGTGAGAGTTCCTTACGGTGCCTTCTGGAACGGGTCCTGTATACGGTAATGATACCCTTAGTACGGACCCCCTTCAGTAAGGGTCCTTGTAGTATGGAGTCATTGCTTATGCGTCCTTTGAGAAGGGCTCAGTTATGATGCGTTTAGTAAAGGATTCTTAGTCACCATGCTTCTCGTAAGGTCCTCAATTAGGAGGGATTACTTTAGCACGTACCCTCTCGGTGTGGACCCATGCAGTCATGATCCCTTCTTACTCCTCGTTTTAGAATGGCTCCTTAAAGCGGATATTGGTTCCTGAGCAAGGATATATTTTGAGGGGTCGGGATCCTTCGTGCGGGTACTGTCAGTCAGGCCTCGTTTGTGGGGATCCCTTTCGTACGGATCCCCACAGCCAGGACCCATGTAGTACATATTTCCTTTTAATACTTTGTTCATTAAGGGTTCCTTGTGGTTGATTCCTTCTGTGAGGAGTCCTGAGTACAGTAAGTGTGCGCTTAGCGCGGGTTGCTTCAGTAAGAACTGTTGTAGTAAGGATTCATGGATCATTCGTCCTTTAGTGAAGGTCCATTGGTAGTGGTGCCTTTTTCGTAAGGTACCCTTAATACGAGTGTTTGGAATAAGGCCCTTTCTGGGAGGATCCCTGTAGTAAGTATCCTCACGATAAAGGCCTATGTTGTCATGGGCCTTTCTTGCTACAGTCTGAATTTAATGCTCCTTAAGAAGGATACGGGCTCTTGCGCAAGGACATGTTGTGACTCTTTCCGTAGAGCAGATGCCTTTAGTGAGACCAGCAGGCTTGCTGAGTGGAGATGCCTTCGGTAAGGACCCACATACTATGTGGTCAGTTGTTTGTCTCTCTCTCTCTCTCTCTCGCTCGGCCCCCCCATAGCCACCACCACCGCCACTGGGCTGGGATTGCGGGAACGGGCCCGGTCTCCGCTGAAGGATAGGGCCTAGTTCGTGGCATGGGTCCAGTTGTAAGGCATGTGTGGTGAGCATTCTTTTTGGTGTGAGATGCCTGGTGCAGATCTCTTGAGCAATCGGCCATTATAAAGGAGGCCATTTTTACAGAAGACATCCTTAAAGCAGGATCCCCTTAGTTTGGGGGCTTCTTTTGTTTATGGCTTTAGTACGCGTCCGTTAGTAAATGGTGGCCTTCATCAAAGTTTCTTCTGTAAGGACCCCTTTAGTGAGGGTCCCTTCAGTAAGGGCCCCTTAGTGAGGATGCCTTTTAGCAAGGACCCCATCAGTAAGGATCCCTGTAGTCAGGAATCACTGTTCGTGCTTCCTTTCGTAACGGGTCCTTGGTAAGGGTGACACGAGTAAGGGATCCTTAGTAGGATTGCGATTAGTAAGAGGTCCTCAGCAAGGTGCTTCTTAGTAAGGCCTCCTGAGTGACGGTGCCTTTAGTAAGGGCCCCATCGATGAGGACCCTTGTAGTAAGGGCTCGAGGGTTCTTCGGGGAAACCCGTGGAAGCGTCAGGCTTTGCACTCAGCTTCCCAGTCGCCGCCGTCGTCGTAGTTGTCGTCGTGGTCGTAATGGGGGGGAGCAAAACAAATGTAATAAAATCTGTCCCCCCTCTCCCACCTTCGCCCGAACCGCCAAGCAGCACTGCACTGGGACGGGGGTCCCGCTAGAGGGCTTCGTCGAATAATCGAATCCGAGACGACCTCCTTGCGAATTCCTGGGGTCGCCGTATTTTCCCAGCCCGAGGTAGGAGCGGAGGGAAACGGAGAGAGAGGAAGAGAGAGAGGAAGAGAAAGAGAGAGAGGGGAAGAGAGAGAGAGAGAGAGAGCGCGAAGCGGAGAGACGTGGAGGGAAAACGGAGTCAACAATTTCGCAAGGGGGAATCGACCCCGAAGCCCCTTACCTGGACCCCCCCCCAACCGGGTAACGGTGACGATCGCACGTGCCAGGAGACCCCCCCCCACACACACACACACACACACACGCACACACACACACACACACACACACACACACACACACCGCGAGGCACGTGCACCACGCGTTCAAGCATCTCAAGCTGGCCAGTGGCGAGTGGCGCAGGTTCGACGCAGCCACCCCCGCGGGGGCCCGCACTGCCGTCTTTGTGGGCCTTGACAAAAGCCCGCAGATGGTGCGGCGCGAGATCGAGACAAAGAAGCTGCTGGAGATTGTCAAGGAGTCGTGCGTGGGCAGATGGAGAGCACATCGCGCTCAGGGCGTCATCTACAGGGGCTCTTCGCCTGTCATCAAGGTCCTCGTCCCTGAGACGCCATCTGAGGCAACTGCGCTCCAGTGGAACTACCGCATGGTCCTCGAGACGGGTATTGACAAGCAGAGCATTGCGGAGGCGTTCGCGGAGCGCTTTGGCGCGTCAGAGCGCATCCAGTGGGCTATTTAGCAGGCGGCTGGCGTGCTGGCGCCCTGTGTCCTCGTCTTCGGGCGCGTCGGGTTCGAGGATTCCCCCGGCGTTGTTCGGCACTTGGAATGCTCGTGCTCTTCTTCATCATGACCGTACCGCGGGTGGCATCCGCGAGCTCAAGCTCTGCTACTTGGCACATTTGTTGAGGCGTGGGGTGGTGATGGCGGTCCAGGAAGTCCATGCCACGCGGGCTGAGCTTCGTCAGGCTCTGCATCGGTTGCACGTCTCCTGCCAGGTATTCGAGTCCATACCACGCGTGGATGCTGGTGGCGTCTGCATCATCGTGCCCTGCGGTCCCTTGGTTCTGCAGCGGGCGCGCTTTCGTCCTGAGGTGATCGTCCCTGGCCGCATCCTGAGGCTGAGGATCTCTGCGATCGCCGCTGATGGCAATTCTTCTTGCAGCACTGTGATTTACAATGTGCACAACTTTGGTTTAAGCGATGAGGACCGCTCGAAATTTCGAAGCAAGCTCTTCTCCGATCTCACAATGGCAGACATGGCACCCGAGAAGGTCACCGTTCTTTTGCTTGGAGACTTCAACCTGTATAAGCAAGCCCCCATGTACCCACGTGCTCCTGAGGTGGACAAGAGGCGTAGTCAAGGTGATGTTGCGGTGCGCGCTCATGACGCCTTCTGGCAGAGTGTGTTTAGCCGCCTGATGGAGCTGGACAATGAGCTGCCCACGCACTACGTCACAAATGAGTGGCAGCCCAAGCTCACCCAGATCGATCGCGTGTTCGTATCAATGCCGAGCTGGGCTGCCCTGCAGCAGCACTTCGATGCGCTTACGGAGGATAAGCCTGAAGACTTGCACGAGAAAGGCATAAGTGACCATGTGCCTGTCGTGGTCTCGGTCTCGGCCCGCCAGGTGGCGCCCGCCGAGGAGCAGAGGATCCCCTCCCACCTCTTCAAGGATCCTGAGTTCGCTGCTCAGTACGAGAGGCTGCGCGTGCTCGTCGATTGGTCCAAGCTCGGGGTGTATGCGACGAGGCGGCGGCACAAGGAGCTGATGAAGGAGGCCGCGAGGTATGTGAGGGATCTGCGCTGCCGCAACCCGAAAGGCGAGACGAAGCTGATGGTCTTTCGCTCGATGTCTCGAGCGGTCTGGCGAGATGATGTCGAGTTGGGACAGAGGCTTCTCTTGACGTGTGAGATCGCGCCGACGTACATCTCGGTCTCTAGCGTCCAGGTCTCGCTGATCGACCCGCCGTCGTTCGCTAGGGACTTCGCCGAGGCCCAGCGCTTGCACTTCGAGGCTCGAGCGGCTGCCCTCTCGGAGCAGGAGGCGAAGGCGTTCGACCCCACATCGTTCAAGATGGTGAATGCTGCCCGGCGCAAGTTGCGCAGGCGGGAAGCTTTGTGGTCGCCCTTCAATCGCACGCTCAAGTTGCAAGGCATCAAGGTGCCCGACGATGAGGGACACAAGGTGCTGACGGACCAGGTCGACATGGTCGAGGCCCTCCGCAACCACTGGGCCCCGATCTTCCAGGTCAAGCCGAAGGTTCCCGACTGGCAGGTCCTAGCGGGCAAGTACATCGCAGAGCACGCGCCGCAGCTGGAGGTGGCCGACCTGCTCCCCCCTGATCGGCAGGCGCTGTTGCGCGCTGCTGCTCGAGCGAAGGAGTCGGCGCCTGGGCCCGACGGCCTGCCGTATGCAGCCTGGCGTGCATGCCCAGCAGCGCTAGCGGCGCTGGAGGACGTGGTCCTGGAGATTGCGTCTGGCAGGCCGCCGCCCGTCGACTGGAACGATCACCTGCTCGCCTTCCTCCCGAAGGGTTCGTACGAGGAGGATCTAGTGGAAGGCGCATTTCGCACGCCGTGCACCACGCGGGCGATTGCGCTCAAGAATGCGGACTGCAAGCTGGTGGCCTCAGCGGTGAACGCGCGGATCAAGGGACCCATAGAGAAGGCTTCGCCTGCCCCCCAGCGGGGCTTCCTGCAGGGCCGCAACTTCCTGGACAACATCTGCTTGCTGGACGCCACCGCGCGCGCCGCGGGGCTGCAGGAGTCGGGCAAGCCCATCATGGCTCTGTTCGACTTTGGCGACGCGTTCCCTTCGTTGATGACCGAATGGATGCTGCTCATGCTGATCCACTCGGGATTCGTAGGAGGCGTTCGGTACGTGCTGGAGGCGCTCTACTGGCTTCCCACGGCGTATGTGGAGCTCGCGGGCGCGATGGTGCGCTTTGTTTGCGTCTCCTGCGGGCTCGCCCAGGGATGTCCGTCCTCTGGGAGTCTCTGGGCCATTGCAATGAACCCGTTCATCCATCACATGATGCAGTACACTGACCGCGATGCCAGTCGCCTCTCCGCCCTCGGGGTATGTGCTGACGACGTCGGAGTGGTGCTGCGGTCGCGCCACTTGCTCCGTGGGCTGTGGCGGGCCTTCGCTGCTGCTCGGGCGCTCGCCAGCTTGCACCTGAAGCTCCACAAGTGCGTGCTGATCCCGCTGGAGGGCAAGTTCTCTGACGAGCTCGTCGCAGATCTCAGAGGATGGCTGGCCGAAGCCTTGTGCGAGTGGAGCGGCATGCAGGTGCGCGACCAGGCGGAGTACCTGGGCTTCGCTGTCGGCCCTGGTGCGACGCAGCGGGACATCTGGAGGAAGGCGGCGGCAAAGTGGCTCTCCCGTGTCGTGGACATCGCGATGAGCGGTGCGGCCCCGTCGCTGGCTGCTCGGCTTTATAATCGACGTGCTCTGCCTGTCTTGGGATATCTCCAACAACTGGCGGCCACCCCGAAGATGGTGCTGGCCAAGGAGGGGTGGGCGGTCGCCAAGTTGTGGCGCATGCCCCCACAGGCGCTGGGCAGGCATGACTTTCTGGCCCTGGGTGCGTGGGCGCCTGGCCTTCGTATCCGCTCGTTGCTGGCCACGGGCTGTGCAGCGGCCATGCGATCGGCCCTCTCCACGGTGAGCAACTGGAAGGAGCTGCACGCATGGCTGCAGACACAGGTCCAGGACCACGGGAGCCTATGGGTCATTGGCAGCGGCACTTTGTCCCCGCCGTATTGGCAGACCAGGCCAATCGTACAGTTCCTTGCTTCTGCGCAGGAGGATTTTGTGAATGATCGTGTGCTCGCGCGTCCTGCCGCCGCTGCGAGGGAGGCACTCGGCCGTGCCTGCCGCGACGCAGCTGAGCGGGGCGTGCGGGTGCGCGCGCAGAAAACATTGTATTCTTCTTTGCACGCCTCGCTCCATCCCGACCTCCTCCACCTCCTGATCCAGCGCCGTTTGAAGGCGTGGGGGCTCGAGGTTGAAGGTCGCGTCGGGTGTCCCAGAGCCTGCCGTTCTCACGCGGTGTCATGCAAGGCGCGGTGGGCCGGCCTGAGAGATGCGATTTCGCGCCTCGCCCCGTCGTGGCAGAGTGCGATTCTTAAGACGGTCTCGGGCGCCTGGCTCACATCGGGCCGCCTTCACGTACAGACGGGCGTCGGCGAGTGTCGCTTTCGGTGCAGGGAGCCGCCTCTGATAGCTGCGCCTGACACTTTTTCGCACTATTTGGACTGTAATGTTCTATGGTCGATCGCCTACCCGCCCCAGGCCGAGATTCCGAGTTGTGCAGTCTGTCGTCTTGGCCTTGGCGGATCACCCAGCCCATCCACAATTGAGGCTGTGGTCACTGCTTATCATATTTATAACTCTGCCAGAGTTTTGTGCCCGCCGCCCAACCCCTCTGAGGAAGCTTGGGAAGGCCACTTGTACGAATTGCGGCGTGCTGCATGCGCACTCGTCGAGCTCACAAGAACTCGAGAGGCTCCGTAGGGCTCGTTAGGGCTCGTTGGTGACCTCTGAGGACCCCCTTTGAGTACGTGCGACACACACACACACACACACACACACACACACACGCACACGCACACGCACACACACACACACAACGACACACAACGACACACAACGACACACAACGACACGCACACACACACACACGCACACGCACACGCACGCGAGCGCGCGCGCACGCTGTGGCGATCGCAGCGCACCCTCGTCCTAACGTGCCCCACCCAGCCCAAGCCTTCCCGTTGCCCGACCCCCCCCATGGCGTAACGACCGCTACCAGGAATGACAAGCCAGCAATATCATGCACAGATCATACGGGCCGCGGACGGATTGAAAAAACAGATCGGCGAATATCGGAATCCATAACCACCGCCTGGGGTATCGATCTTCGGGGACCTCGACAGGCAGTGGATCTGGGTAGATTTGCCTCCCCCCCCTGGGACCGAACATATCCATATCCGCTGCTTGCCGAGGTCCCCGAAGATCGATCCCCCGGCCTGTGGTTGTGAATGCATCCCCGCTCCACAGCCATGAAGTTCGGCCATGCAGTCCCCAGACGCCACGGATCGAGAATCCAGGCCCAGGCTTCTGCAGGATTGACTTGTTCGGTCCCGCAGTTATCCCAAGATGTCGCTTCCTGGGGGTCCGCTTTTGGGCCCAGGGTCCTCACAGATGGATCTGGGATGAAAAACTACCCCTGCTGGGGAAGACGATTCGAGAGTTCTGGGACCGCGGATTTGAAAAACGATCCAGGCTCGCGCCGTCCAAGGACGGTGCGCCCCTGGGGAGTCATAAGACACGAGCCGGCCAGAGGAAACGGAAGGCGAGGGGGACCTCGAGTCGCTGCTGGCGGAGTGCGACGCC